AGATACCAGATATACTAAGCAAATTTCCTAAATTTGCTTGTAACAGATAAGTGAACTATAGATATGTAGATATAAATCCATATGTATTCCTGTTAACCCTTTGGGGCCTAGTTCCTAGGCCTTTTGTGTATCCACATGCTCTCGCGCTACCGTCCACAGGATGGATATGGGGTGCACAATAAACTAGCCACTTCGGTGGCAAAATTTAAAAAAAAAAAAAAAAAATGTCTGAACCACCTCAACAACCCTTCCTCAGCCCTCTGGACAACAGTTTTGGTAATCCCGCACCTCCTCCTAACTTCCAAACTACGAATTCTCCGCATTATATTCACACCACACATTGCCCTCAGACATGACATCTCCACTGCCTCCAGCCTTCTCCTCGCTGCAACATTCATCACCCATGCTTCACACCCATATAAGAGCGTTGGTAAAACTATACTCTCATACATTCCCCTCTTTGCCTCCAAGGACAAAGTTCTTTGTCTCCACAGACTCCTAAGTGCACCGCTCACCCTTTTCCCCTCATCAATTCTATGATTCACCTCATCTTTCATAGACCCATCCGCTGACACGTCCACTCCCAAACATCTGAATACATTCACCTCCTCCATACTCTCTCCCTCCAATCTGATATCCAATCTTTCATCACCTAATTTTTTTGTTATCCTCATAACCTTATTCTTTCCTGTATTCACTTTTAATTTTCTTCTTTTGCATACCCTACCAAATTCATCCACCAACCTCTGCAACTTCTCTTCAGAATCTCCCAATAGCATAGTGTCATCAGCAAAGAGCAACTGTGACAACTCCCACTTTATGTGTGATTCTTTATCTTTTAACTCCATGCCTCTTGCCAAGACCCTCGCATTTACTTCTCTTACAACCCCATCTATAAATATATTAAACAACCACGGTGACATCACACATCCTTGTCTAAGGCCTACTTTTACTGGGAAATAATTTCCCTCTTTCCTACATACTCTAACTTGAGCCTCACTAGCCTCGTAAAAACTCTTCACTGCTTTCAGTAGCCTACCTCCTACATCATACACCTGCAACATCTGCCACATTGCCCCCCTATCCACCCTGTCATACGTCTTTTCCAAATCCATGAATGCCACAAAAACCTCTTTAGCCTTATCTAAATACTGTTCACTTATATGTTTCACTGTAAACACCTGGTCCACACACCCCCTACCTTTCCTAAAGCCTCCTTGTTCAACTGCAATCCTATTCTCCGTCTTACTCTTAATTCTTTCAATAATAACTCTACCATACACAGGTATACTCAACAGACTTATCCCCCTATAATTTTTGCACTCTCTTTTGTCCCCTTTGCCTTTATACAAAGGAACTATGCATGCTCTCTGCCAATCCCTAGGTACCTTACCCTCTTCCATACATTTATTAAATAATTGCACCAACCACTCCAAAACTATATCCCCACCTGCCATAAGATGTATCAGCCATTAAATACTGAAGCTGTTCAGAAGATGTAGATGCATCTATTTTAACCATGAACATTTAACGGGAATCAGTTTTTCACTATTTTACACAAAACGGTCAGAACTTCACCTACTCACTATATTTGCCTCCCAGTCATTTTCACACTCGCTGGTCTCTGATTAAGTAAGTTTATTCAGGTATACACAAATACAGTTACACAGAATTATCATACATAGCAGCATATGTGTGGAGAACTTAGGATAACCCAAAAAAGTCAGACAGAGTGACTTATTTCCATTTTGGTCCTGGCATATTACATCTTAACACATCCTATCCTGCAGCGCTGTATGACTCTTGTGGGTTTAGTACTTAGTTTTTATTGTAATAGTTCACATACCCACTTGAATTTCACTCTGCCGCCATGTAATTATCAGCCACCTTAGTTTAACATTTTCATTATGCGCCCCATACCCATCCTGTGGGCGGTAGTCAAAAGTTTATAGACACACATTATGGGTCCTGAGACTGGACCCATTATGTGTGTCTATAATACTATGAAATTTCTTGAAAATTTCTGCGTGAGTTGTCTCTGAATTCATTAATTTTATCGCATTCTAGTACATAAAAACGCAAGATGTCAATTGTCCATCTGGCATTATTATTATTATAATCAAGGGGGAGCACTAAACCCGTAGGATTATACATCGCCTGTGGGGGAGATGGAAGGTATTCAGGCTTAACTCAGGGAACTGGAGCACAGTTCCAGTTCCCTAGATCAAGAGCCCCTCACCAACATCAAGGAACCTTCCTTGAGGGGTGTCCATCTGGCAAAGTTTACATTTCGTTTGGTCTACATCTGGTGGTAGTGATTAATCTCTCCGAGATACTTGTAACGCAGCCAGAGCCGGGCGGTAGTGACATCCAAGACTCTAGGATGTCACTACCGCCCGGTAGTCTGCTTATTTTATTGGATGCACCACAGACATGTGATTCCTCCTGCATAACAGATGGACTTTGAAGCTACGCCAGTGTTCTGGAAACTATATGGGCCATTACAGGATGCTAGGAATGGTTTCATTAACATTGGTCACAGGGCACCTGCATATATACTAGTTCCCAGAATCTGGTCCAAGTTACCTTACAGAAGCGTCCAAAAATTTCTTGTGCAGTCGGTTCATTCATACCCCGATACATCCTACAATGAAAGTGCACCTCTAGTACGCAATGATACTTCATTTACCAGACTGTATGTCCAAACTCCACTCCATTATGCTGCAGCCAGTATTTATTTAGACCAGTGCCACAGTCTGCTCTCTGTACCTTTCTCCTTCCCCCTTATCTTCAGGTACCATACAATGCCCAAATTTATCTATACCTGAACCAGTACTTTTAGCTTTTAATTGCCACCATTTTCTTTGGAGTGGTCCGATTGTGACTCTCGCATTAATGTATTGAAATCTTCTTACCTTCTTCACATTAGTACATCCTAAATACTGGGACTCTGACCCATGTAGGCCCTTGAACTCGTTATCCACGATCTCTGCTCATCGTCTATGGCATTTGACTCTGGGTCGTACCCACAATGTGAAGTCTGCTATGGTCCTTCAGTTTTGAAAAACGTATATCGGGTTGCGATATACAGTTATATATTCTCACGTAAATTTGGATACAGAATTATTAGTATAATCATGGGGAAGCGCTAAATCCGGAGGGATTATAGAGCGCCTGTGGGGGGTGGGGGACTGGAGCACAGACCTAATTCCCGAGATCAAGAGCACCCTCACCAGCGTCAAGGAACCTCCCTTGAGGGGTTTGGATACAGAAGTGATCTTTCTCCCATTGATCCTCTAATCCGGGTGGATACACACATTTGCAAAACCTTTCCGAAGGTTGGTTTGTGGCTGGTCTTTTTCGACTTTGAAAAAGCTTACATGACATGGCAGTATAACAACTTATTGTATCTGTGATCCATTCGTGTAGTCTTCATGACAAATCGACGCTAGTGTCTGGATTAATAACTAACAACTCTTTAGACTGCTCAAGGAGAAGGGATTCCACAAAAGTGCCTTTAATGCAAACTCTCTTGTTGACTTTTTAACTAAAACCAATCTATTACACCAGCTTTGATTCCATCCCCACTAACCCCTAACGTTACACACATTTACTTTTTGGCTCAACCTTCACATATCTCTCCTCGCAGCGCTGCATGACGCTTAATTTGAATATAATAAGTAGCCCAACTCTGTTTTTATTAGAGTTTAAAGGTCTACCTCAGGGAATATGTTCCTCTCATGTGGATGATTTCGCCACTGCTTGTGCTGGCACAAATATTGTGCCAGTATGTACCTTGCAGAGTGCAATCGACTGTGCATCTTGATGACCTATATCCCATTGCTTCAAGTTCTCTATATCATAGGAATTACACGTAATAGCCCTGAAAGCTGTCTTAGCAGATTGAATTTGCTGAAAATTTTGCCATGGTGCCCCGTGGTCTGGTGGCTAAAGCTCTGGCTTCACACAACGAATGTCCGGGTTCGATTCCCGGTGAGTAGAAACATTGGGCGTGTTTCTTTACACCGGTTGTCTATGTTCATCCATCAGTAAAATGGGTACCTGGGTGTTAGTCGACTGGTGTGGGTCGCATCCTGGGACAAAACTGACCTAATTTGCGGGAAATGCTCATCATAACAAGCTGCTTTCTATATAGTAGTATGTCATTGATGTCAGCTATGGTCTGTATACCTTGTACTTGTAGTAAATAAAGATATTATTATTATGGGGGGAGGTGATGTGGGGAGAGCCCATAGGCGAACACTTCGCCCTCAGACGGTCTTTATTCTGTTTAAACATTATTGTGGGGATTATAAGTATTTATCTCCTTCAACAACTCTTATTCTGCTCATCTCAGTTATTCAGAACATAGAAGAAAATGAATTTTAAATGAACACTGGATACAAAACTGAAAAAGACCATCTTGTAGAGCGAAAAGTTTGACTACGGAGATGCAAATCATAATATAAGCATCAACAAGGAAGAAATCACAACAAAACGCGTGATTGCTAATATGTAAAAATACCACAGTGAAAATAGAAAAAAAAAACCTGTGTGTTTTCATGTGCATACACACATATCCTCTGTGTGTAAGCACATGCAAGCGCTCAGGTTTAATTTCCTAATTTTCACTCGGGTATTTTTTACATAAGCAGTAACAGAGGTTTATGCACATCGGTAACAAGGAATGTCATTGTTTTACGCAATATACTCAGTGTTTCCGTCAGCAGCCTCAGCATTCAAGTCACGTTTATTAAGAAAATGGCTGTTCCGGACATTTCTTAATCTGTTGTAATCCTGAGAGAAATTCACGCCGGTGTGGGGTGTAATATTTAAAATAACCCAGATAAAACATTTATCAACATATATTAAAAAAAAAAATAAAGGAAAATAATTAATAAAAGTTGCGTCTTATGCCAAAGACGTGAAAATGAAACGAACACGTGGTAAGTGGACAATGGGGTATACTTACTTTTACTTCCAACACAAAATGTGTGAAGGGCGGGTCTTCTTAGTAGGAAGGTCATTTGTATACTGGTCCCCGAAACTTCTTTAGTGTCCATCTACACCAGTTTGTGGTGAAGACGGTAGAGGTCGGACATATTCTAAAGCTGGTCTTCCAAAGTCAACTGTCGACGTTCTGGCTTGTGTGCGCACCACCAGGATCCCTCTTATTATTTTCAATGCGTCTCTTAATATAACGCCGTTCCTGCTTATTTACCTGTTGTTAGCTTGAAGATGCTACTGGCGTTGCCGGGGGCGTGACTGACATTATATAAGATCTTTCTGAAAGTAAAAAGGGCCCAAATTCGGTGCATTGGAAAAGACCTCTTTAACGGTATGTAATATGTGTTAAATTTTTCTTTTGCCTCTGTCTTTTCCTTTCACTATATTTTCCGTGTTAGTGTCTTTCACTTTATCGAGTTTTCATTTAATATTTTTACGTAATATTACTATATTTTAAATTTTGAGTTTAGAATTTTAATCACAGTATCCCCTTGTTTTTTCTTCCTCGTTGATAATTTGAAAATACATTACTAAACTGGCTTCAAATGTTTAACGCTGGTGAATTATAACCAGGGAAAAGTTAATTGAACTATTGGGATGAACTTTCGCCATTTAAGTCAGTTTGATAAAACCATTGATAATTGTGATAACTTGAGAAAGCCTCTTGTGATCGACCTTCAAATTTGAAAATTAGTTTATCCTACCTAGAATAATTCACAAATAACATTTCCGTCCGTCACAGACCAGTCACGGTATTGTGCCTATTTATTTCCTATTTAGAAGAAGGTTGGGATTGTTATTGGAATGTGTAGGTGAAAATTGGTAAATTATATTTTGAAAATAGTATGGTATTTTGAACGGCTTCAATTTTTGAGATACAAGTCAAATGTGGATCTGGAAGACTTAAATGATACAAAAAAGTAGATGTAAAGAGTGTGTTCAAGTATATGTGCTTGTACTCACCTATTTGTGGTTGCAGGGGTCGAGACTCAGCTCCTGGTCCCGCCTTTTTACTGACCGCTACTGGGTCCTCTCTCTCCCTGCTCCATGAGCTTTATCATACCTCGTCTTAAAACTATGTATGGTTGTCTGAGAGTGTGAGTGTGTGAACGAGAGTGAGAGTGTGTTGAGTGCATGTACTAGTACAATGGAGGGGAGTGTAGTAGGTCACGACCCCCCCCCCCTCTCACAATCTGGCCACTTGAAATCCTCCCTTTCGTAAAATTCTCATTGGAGTTTGATAGCTTTGTCTGTTCCAATAAACTTACAGCTTAATTACAACTCCTTAACCATAACATTTATCATTAACGCTTGTTTTTGCTTTTTTTTTTATTAAGACACTGGTGGTGTCCCACCAAGGCTGGGTGACCCGAGAAAGAAGAAGTAGCACTTATCATTCACTCCATCACTGTCTTGCCAGACGTGTGCTAACACTACACTTAAAAAACTGCAATAATAATAATAATAATAATAATAATAATAATAATAATAATAATAATAATAATAATAATAAAAATAATAATAATAATAATAAATAATAATAATAAATAATAATAATAAATAATAATAATAATAAATTATAGCAAATAATAATAAATAATAATAATAATAAATAATAATAATAATAAATAATAAATTATAGCAAATAATAATAATAGCAAATAATAATAATAGCAAATAATAATAGCAAATAATAATAATAAATAATAATAACAATTATAGCAAATAATAATAATAATAAATAATAATAATAATAAATAATAATAATAATAAATAATAATAATAATAATAATAATAATAATAATAAATTATAGCAAATAATAATAATAATAATAATAATAATAATAATAATAATAATAATAATAATAATAATAGGACACGAGCATAGTTTTGCTTCTGCTTCAACAAATATATAATTATGCGCTCAAGGCAAATATAAAATTGATGCTCAAATGAACCTTTAATATTTTTTTTCCAGTATGAATGATACTGAACCAGTGAAATACACGAAGATTTTTATATAGGACAACCAAAAATGGTTTTAAAAAGACGTTTAACCCCCCCCCCCCCCCTCAAAAAAAAAAAGGTCAAAGTGACTTATTTCCATTTGGGTCCTTGTAACATCTTATTATTTAAACCATAGAAGTTAAAAATCAGTTAAAATAAGGGTGATATACCAGGAATCAGTTATTTACATTAACATTAAAGAGAGGATCAGTGTACAATAACGTCAACATGTCTGGGTATTTTTTGGACCACCGAAGGGATTTATAGGCCCGTGTCTCCTACCATTGTACATGTTCCCCAGTGAAAGGCACTTGATGTTATCTTCAGTTCCGTCCCGTCGATTGTTCTTGATGTCTTGTTTCTGTAATTGTGGTTACGTCAGCTTGCGTGCGGCCAGTAGTAACAGCCTGGTTGCTCAGACCCTGATCCACCGTGAGGGCGGGTCTCAGACCGAGCCACGGGGGGCGCTGACCCCCGAAACCCTCTCCAGGTAAACGTAAATGTGGAATAAAAGTCAAGATTGCTGTGGTTGGAACAATTTACACCTAACACAATTTGGAAATAAAAAATAGGGAGGATACAGGGGAAGTTTATGTATGGCAATACTAAGTGGTAAATATATCTTATAGAGAATAGGTCCTAGAACTGACCCTCAGCGTTCTTTAATAAGCTGTTAGTAATGTGCAATTATTGATAAAATATGTGACCCTTTCTTGGTCATTTTAAATAATAATAATAGTAATAATTATAATACTACTTATAATAATTATAATAATAATTTTTATAATAATTATAATTCTTATAATAATAATAATAATAATAATAATTATAATAATAATAATAACTTTCTACTGTACTACATGATACAACACAGATACCTAGCTGACATCACTGATACTATACAGAAAGCCCCTGGTTATGTAGAGTATTTCTGGAAACGAAGGTTAATCTTGTTCCCCAGGATGCAACCTATATCCGCCGACTAACACCCAGGTACCTACTTACTGCAAGGTGAACAGGGACAGCAGGTGTGAGGAAACACGCCCAACATTTCACCCGTGTCGGGAATCGATCCCGAATATTGGGTTTTCCTAATTCAATAATTATTACGTTGTATTGAAATGTCAGTATTGCCGATAAAACCCCTATGTGGGCGAAACACTAGAGTTTACCTGGAGAGAGTTCCGGGGGTCAACGCCCCCGCGGCCCGGTCTGTGACCAGGCCTCCTCAAATAGTGACCTATTTCCAGCTATTACTGTATCAATTTTATCAAGTTTATCTGCCTAGTCGAAGCCAGTGAGAGTAATATATGTCGACTGATTTTGTTGGATGAGCCACTTACGTGGCTCTAATTATGTGATGGTAGTTTGATGTAAATTGTATTTTTTTGTTTATGTGTGTATGTATTTTATTGGAGTTCTCTGGTGTATATTCCCCTTGGGGCTTTTTTGGGGGGCACCCCAAAGATTTATTAAAATCTTTTACTCATTCCAACTCACTCCACTGCCATAATATTGGAGTGAGTTGGGCTTTACTGCACCTTTCTAACTCATTACAATAATATGGTAGTTAAAACAAGTGAAAATAGACATAAAAAGTATAACATGACCTTGCCCGATACAAAATACGAAGCAATATAATGTAAACAAAAAAGGTAACCTTGTAGACGGTAATGGTATACTGTAGTAATCTAGTGAAGAGGAAAAAATTGTATCTTTTCCGTGGGGTTTCCTGCGCTTGTGACAATAGGGCGTCGGTCACTCAGAAAGTGAAAATGGTCCCCCACCTTACGTCACTTCCTGGGATTTGTCATATCTCTTTTGTTATGTAGTCTTGTATTGTAATGTGGGACACGTAAAACAGAAGCTACTTCAGAATTGTTCAATGCTTTAGTGGGAATTTAGTATTCACGTAATGAATTGATTTGTGGTATTTTGGTGCAAAATTAATTGATAATCCACAATGCCAGAACTATGCTTGGTTTTCACTTTCCATGATTGTAATATTCGTTTATTTTAAACTAATTTAGGCATAATGAAATTCAAAATATTTCAGTAATGAACCTTCTTGCAGGCCATAAGATTAACACTCAGAAATAACATTAATTAGTTAAAGCTAGGCATTAACAAGGTAATTAATTACCGCTATTCACTCTCTCACTTACAGTGTCTTGTATACTAAACTATTACATTAAAAATTTGAAGAAACACAACACATTTTTATGTGTTATTTATTACAACTAGAGAAGAAAAAAATAATATGAAGTTCTGATAGGAGAGAAACCTGGTTCTTCACTCACAGCTCAGGTCAGAGGCCATCACCTGACAAAAAAATGCACCATTATCAAAATATACTTTAGGTTTATTCTGTATGCTAATTTTAATAAGTAACCGCAAAACTAACTTTCTCATTAATTGTAAACTGATCATTTCATTTCCGATAAGATGAATGTGTCAATATATAAACATGAGACAGAAACCACATTTATTTTTTAGTTTATATCTGGTTAGGATAGGTTAGATGAACTAATAAAAACATGTGTTTAACTATAAAATGACTTTGCTTGCCCATACGGAGCTGCCGCTCCAGTAAACAGGAAAAGCTTAAATGCGTATTATAACCTTATCTATAAGAATGATAAAAACATGTAATATATTCTATAATTCAGTGTGTCCTTCAACATCTTATGCTCCAATGAAAACGGAAGAGGGTTGAAAAGCATTTGTATAATAGGAAGGTTGCTTGGTAAAAACAACTGTGTAAAAAAGTTAAATTAAGGTAACATTTTGTGAAGGGTCCTTTGTACTATAGTTATAACATGTGTCTTGCTTGGTACGTGACAATTGATTTCCTGCATTTGTTGTCCTCTCAAAGGCCAAAGAAAAAATGTGTTTCGGTTGCTGGGTGATACCAGGTGGTATCTCCGTATCGCATGAGCCTAGCCCCCTCTACCTTGTTGCATGTAAAATGAATAGTGCAGAGTGCAGCACAAGTTTTTAATGCTAATCAGAAGAGACATTTACAAGTTATCACATGGAAACAAATATCCCAAGTTAGTTTGAATCTTTGATAAGAAAAAAAAAAGGGTTTTACTGACCAGTGTTATTTGTAACAATAATCAGAAATACAAATCATTTCGGCATTTAAATAAGATGGTAAGAAGGCCTGAAATAGAGGCCGACATATTATTTTTTTTTTTATTATTTTTTCCCAATAAGTCGGGCTATATTGATTATTAATATTTAATGTGGTGATTTATGCTTTGCAGATATACCGTAGGTTGGGTGAACGCAGGATGTTCCTGGGCGCCCTTGTGTGGTGTTGGTGTGTGGGCCTTGTACTGGGGAAGGAGGGTGAGGCAGTAGCAGCTAGTGATGATGGTGGTGGTGTAGGTGTTAACTTCCTACAACCCATCGACAATCTCACCGTCACCTCCAGTCCACTTGCAAGTGATGAGGGTAACACCATTCATGCTCCTGACCCAGTACTACCTCGGGCAAGTAGCCAAGGTGAAGTGTCAGTTCTGGAACAGGAAGAGAGAACGTTGGGAGACAAAGGTGATGATTTCAAGAGGACAGAAACAGGAAATGAAGCCAATCGTGTGAGGGCTGATGCTACAGAAGATACTCACGGGAAAACAGAACTGGAATGGAAGAGGAAAACTGATACTGAATCAAAACAGAGAAGAGAAATAGACATTGACTTGGAAAGAGAGAAGGACAGAAATACTCGTCGGAGACCTGTGGAGAAGTTGATGACTAGGAGTGAAGAATTTGATATAAAGAGTAGACAGAGTCTGTCTAGCACTGAGATGGCACGAAAGAGAGAACTAGAACGGAAAGAGGAAATCGCAAGAGAGGTGGCAAAGGCTGAACAAAAGAAAGGAGAAATTTTAAACCAGCCCCAAAATTCTCCCTTGCATGAAAGGGGAAGTTACGACGGACAAGACTCTGAAAGAGATAGAGATAGAGAAATAAATTTGCAACGGGAAAGAGACCGAGCGTTAAGGAGCGGTACGTCTAGGGACCCCGGACCTGGTGGCATGAGAGACTCGGGCCGTGGCAGCCGCAAGGTTGATCGAGTAGCCGGTGACTACGAGGGTAAACATCGTTATCACCGATTCAGTCACTCAAAGGAGCCAATTCTTATCATTGAGGAAGTTACTCCACGGTACTACTCGAGCCCCTCTGATCCTCGACCTGATCACGACCACCGCAGGCCCTCAGATAGGGGCCCCGTGTGGAGAGGCACCAGTCGACCTGACAGCAATAGCCACCCTCCTGGTGATCGGCCTATACAGGACCCGCGCCGCCCTGATCGACCACTACGTCTTCCTCGCCCTGAACGGCCTATTTACCCTTCCAAGTATGATGAGGTTCACCTCGGTGGGTTGGCTCCACACTCTGGCCATAACGCTGATGGCTACCCCCCCATAGACAAAGTGGCTTTTCCTGTAGCAGGAGTGCTGCCCCGCCCTCCGCATTCGCCCCTTCCGCCCCTCCTGGTTGACAACGCCCTAGCGGTAGCGGCACAAGCTGACGCCGTCAACACTCAGCTGGCACTCAAGCAACAGCTTGGACAAGCAATACTTGCCGAGCAAGCGCTGCAAGCTCAACATGCTATTCAGGCAGGGCAAATTCAACAAGCAGCAGTAGCTGCCCATCTAGCAAACCAAGCTGCAGCACAGCATATCGCAGTGCAGCAAGTTGCAGCGCAAGTTGCAGCACAGCAAATTGCAGCACAGCAAGTTGCAGCACAAGGAGCGATAACACAGCAAATTGCAGCGGGAAATGCAGCTGCTGGGATTCAGGCGGCACAGGTAGGGCAAGCTACGTCAGGAACTATGGCTGCTGGGCTTCAGGCTACACAGGTAGGCCAGCTTGGAGGAAGCACAACCAATCTGGAAGAACTACTCAGGAACCGACTGAAGATTCAGCTTCAACAGGGAGCAGCAGGCGCAGCAGCAGCAGGAGCGTCTGCCTTGACTGGCCAGCGTGCCGCACAACTCCAGTACATTGCTGAAGTGCGCCTTCGTCTGCGGCAGGCACGGGAGGAGCTCTTTCGAAGACTGACACTTCTCAAGTAAGTGGAGCACCTGAATAGTTCTAACCCACAGACATTTTCGTTTGCACTACAGCCATCCCTGGGTATATATACGTTGCGTCGGTTGTAAATGGGTTGGTGATACCGATAAACTATAGATAACGACACTTCTTTACAGTTCAGGACATTTACTGAAGGAGACGTTTAGCCATGAGATTGATGAAGTCACTTGTGGCGAGACGTCCTGAACTGTACGTCAGTGTCTATATCCAGACATACGATGCTTCGATCAGTGCATATATATTAAGAGAAAATATAACCTTCAGAATATGCCTAAAGCTTTTGTTAAAGTGTTATATACCATTATTATAAAATAAAGAAAAACACAGGTTACAGAACAAGATTTTATTGGGAAACATTTCCCCTTGTTGAAGTGTTGTCCCACACTTCTTCTGATGACCAGAGCTTTGGTGAGATGGGTAAGGAAGAAGGATGGGTAAGGATGGAAATATTGGAAAAGGGTGGGAGGGGGGAGAGAGGTAGGATATAAAAGGTAAGTGGCCCAACCACTTTGGTGTAATTTAAAAAGTGTATGTGAAATGATAAGATATTCTTTAAGGGGTATAATACTAACCCATCGGAGTCACATAGATATAACAGATATATAAGTACATGACTCTGAATTGGTAGTAATTATACAAGTTGCAATTGCTTTTTTTTTTTTTTTTTTTTTTTTTTTTTTTTTTTTTTTTTTTTTTTTTTGCGATTGCACAACGGATATTTATGCGACAATGAAGGCAAAAATTTTCTGGCCAGTTTATGGAATTACGTGACAATGGCTTCTTACAGGTGGTGTCTAGCCATGGTAAATAGCATAATTTTTACATTAGATTGTTATATAAGATGTCTCCCTAATTGGGGGCGATGATTTTCTTAGTATACATAGAAGGGTTCTGTCCCACACTAGGCTTCTGCAACTTTTTTTTTAATGTTGTCAGTACGCCATTTAGATAAAACTGTTATGACATACTGTTAACCACTGGATCTGAAAGCTGTTTCCTGGTCCTCGCCCCCAGGCCTTACTTCGAGCGCAGCACCAAGATCTACACCGTGCCCAGCCTCCTGCCTAAGGTACCCCAGGGCGCATTCCTTACTGCCAACCAGGTAGCGAGGCTACCCAAGAGACCCATACAGGTACTTGTAGAATTCTTTCGTTTGTGGTAGGTTCCTTACAGCTGAAGTTATTTTATTATCGTTATTATTATTAATCACCCATGTATTATATGGATAGATTCAGCAGTCGACTACGACGCCCCACATACACATCCCTCGCCTGAAGGAGGTTGTGGAGCCGCATCTGGAAGTGGAGTACGTGGAATACCTCCTGGGCCTCCCAGATGATACTTTCAATATCATCACCAACATGTGAGTCCTTCCATCATCCACTCTTTAGGTATTATTATTATTGTTCGTGGGGAAGAGTAACATGTTAGGTTCAAATAAGAGAAGGTGGTTGTAATTCCTCTGATAAGAGCTCTTCATCGGCCTCAAAGTACCCCTTCCCACTTGAAGGCTCTGTCGCCAACTTGAATTTTCCTTTTTAGTCCTTTTTAATGCAAATATTTTACAAAATTATTTAAATAATCGTATACAGTATCCATCATTATATATATATATATATATATATATATATATATATAATATATATATATATATATATATATATATATATATTGTGTGTGGGGGCATTTATCCATACATTGTGTCAGTCATCCTATCCTCTAACTTCTTTATTATTCATTAGATTTATTAATGTAATTACTATTATATATAACGTGCTCAGTGAGGTTCTCGATTGGTGTTCAGGTCGAAACGCGACTTCCTGCTGACGCTGTTTGCTAGTCTGTACCGCGACCCAGTACAGCACCTCAAGCCTTATATCACCACCAGCGTCTTGGGACAAACACCAGCCTACCCTCAAACCTCGGGTGTGCTGGGACAAACACCAACCTACCCTCAAACCTCGGGTGTGCTGGGACAAACACCAGCCTACCCTCAGACCACCACCACTCCCTCTACCTATGTGGATCTGCACACACATCAGCATTATCATCACTATCCACCAAGACCTCCAACGTCTCAGTATCAGCCACCCAGAGCCCCATCACCGCTGTACCCTACCACAGATACGTTATCATATGGACGCTCTCAATCCACTCCCTATCCTCCTGTCAGTAATGGTGTCCCTCCTCAAAGGGTCGTCATCACTACATCCTATGTGCCCTCCACGACACCTCTTATACTTACGACTCTGCGCCCGATTATAACCCCGACGCTAAAGCCACTAACAGCTCCTGCGCCTGAGTATGGGGCACCCAAGCCTTCTTCTGTTCTGAAGAGCGACCATGCCCATGACTGCCACCACAAATACGACAAAAATCACCACGACGTCAACTGCGAGGGGCAATACTTCGTGTACAAAGACGACCACAGTGATGACTATCACCACATACACATCCACCCTCAGAGCCATGTCTCACAACCTGACGTCCCCGTCAAGGTGAGTAGGCTGAGCTTGTGTTCATTGAGAGAACTAGTATATGTACCAACAAGTACGAAATTATTCTCACTTGGTGTACGTATTATGTAAATTGCACTTGTATATATTTGGACACAAGATCCTCTCAGAGACATTTCTGTGAGCATAGCAAGCTTTCTCTTGTCAATCTCTAACTATTTTTTTTATTTTTATCACTACACTTACTAGGATTTAAGCAAACCTAAACCACCAGAGATACTTTACAATTTTACACTTTATTATCCCTAAAATCGGAAAAAATATAAGAAAATATCATAAAAATATTACTTGTATTGTAATTTACATATATTCTCTCGACATTATGAAACCATTTATTGTAAAGGTGAAATTTGCAAATATATAATTAAGTCGAAAAATGTTATGCTAGTTTTAAATAAAATAAACGCTATTTTTTTTTACAAAATGGTAGATGATACCACCAGATTGAGGGACATGACACTTGTATATACACTAAGGACATTGTAATAAGAAAATATTATTCCTGGAACCTCGTTCACTATAATGATACAAAAAAGTACATGAAACACAAAATATATATAATAGAGGTAACATGAGGTCAGGGGAAATCGGTGTCAGGTAAAGTTTAAAACGCAGATAGGTCAGGTTTGATCATCGCAGGGATCGGGTGACCTTACTTCCAAGGTCTTTACGGTTGTCCCCTAACCCTTCACATTTTCTCAGGGAGTGTATGAAGAAAGTTTCACGCATACTCAACACACCAAGTACTGAAATCACTCCTAAAAATTTGTATCATACTCTCCAGCAGCGTTGGTTTAATATGTTTTTTATGCACCTCATACCCATCATGTGGGCGGTAGTCAAAGGATTACAGAGGTACATAATGGGTCCAGGGACTGGGCCCTGGACCCATTACGTACAAACGTAATGAACTCCAGGCAGATCTGGTCACAATCATGAACAAGGTACAAAGGTAATCTAGCATGCGTAGATAAAAATATAACCAAGATTCTCTCATTATGTAACATTAGCTGTGCCCACAACAAGTGAAAATTAACCAGAGCCAAAGCAGGCAATCTTGAAATCAGTGAGGCAGGTGTACACATTATTCCACGTGGAGGTTACCAAAAGATACACGGTGATGAAACTTCAAGAAATTTGGAAACGTATTATGGAGCGTCAAGATGCCAGCACAACAGTAAACCACGACAACGCAAATATGAGTCACTGCAGCTCTCACAGTCACCTCATGAAATGGAACGATACAAAAATATATCAAGTAAATATTTTTACACAGTGAGGAAGTGTTTAGAAGCTCACTCACAGCAGTTTCCAATACACGTCCCCCGAAACAATGGCATTTTCAACATTTCCGGTGTATTATCAAAAAGTGTAGATACCCCACAACACGGTCATCCCCACTACATCTTTTTAATGTACAACTCTGTTGTTAAATATATGCTATAATTTTACTTCTACAATTCTTGATAAATTTATCTACTTTTCCTTCTCCAACTGTTGTTAATACCTGTGCTGTTACGTTATGCTGGGCCCCGCCCGTGCACCACACTATATACATCCATACTGTCCAGTTATATACACTGAAGCTTGCCAAAACTCTTTCTGGACGAAAACGTCGGTATTATTTCCTCCTTTATACTCTCGTGAACCATATTGAATCAAGAAAATATGCTCATTTTAACAAGGTGTACAACCCATTTATGGTATTCTTTAGAAACCCTGGTTAATATTTAATCAAGACACCATTCCCATGAGCCCTTCTAGGGCGGGGAAAGTGCCAGAGACAGAGCTTGCTACCACCTCCAGTTCACAAGACTGCCATTCCCACGAGCCCCCCTGGGGCGGGGAGATGCCAGACCAGAGGCCTAGCTTCTCCCTACGAGCCCCGTGAGGGCGGGGAATGGGGCTAGGCCTAGGGACAGTTGGTCCCAGAAGATGAGGAGGTATTTGTACCTCTTCCCATGGCAGACATAGGTATCCGACACTCCCAAGACAGGGAGCCAAGGCCGGGTCACCATCTCGAAAAGACCCCGGCCAGTAGAGTACCGGCGAATCAAAAAGGTCAATATTTTTTGTTGCGTGCTTACGCGATGGCTGAACTGTGTATTTTAGTGTTTTAAGTATCGAGGTAGAAGAATGAAACTCAAAAAAAAAAGTTTGTCCACTGTCAAATACAAAATAGTAACTGCATCAGATGTTACTGTTCTCTATAATAAATATTCATTGCTAGGGGTGACTTTAACATTCATTGCTCAGTGATACTAATATTGTTAGTTTCAATACACAGTGTTTTGCTTGTTTTTCACGAAGTTCACTTCACAGGCTAAGCCCTAAAGTAGTAACCTAATTCCAGGATACCATCCGTAGCAGAGATTCAACAACACGCTAGGTGAACAAGGGAGAGTTTTTCTCGTCTTGATCCGTCGGGCATCGAACTCAGAACCTTTCGGTTGTTGATGAGACACTTGTGTAACATTTGGTAATCTTTATTCTGGAAACGTTTCGCCACGCAGTGGCTTCTTCAGTCCGATGCAGAGAAAGGTAGGTGAGGAGGAGTTTGAGATAATTAGGTGGAGCTTGTATACTGATGACAGATGAGGTAGAGCAGGCAGAGGGACTGATTACTTCAAACTCCTTATTGAACATTAAAATGGTATAAAATACCGACAGGTTGTTAGGTAAGACACATATGCAACAGTTAGGTATCTTTATTTCGAAACGTTTCGCCTACACAGTAGGCTTCTTCAGTCGAGTACAGAAAAGTTGATAGAAGCAGAAGAGACTTAAGACGATATAATCAGTCCATCACCCTTGAAGTTTTGATGTGGTCAGTCCCTCAGTCTGGAGAAGAGTATTGTTCCATAGTCTGAAACAATCTGCTTCTATCAACTTTTCTGTACTCGACTGAAGAAGCCTACTGTGTAGGCGAAACGTTTCGAAATAATGATACCTAACTGTTGCATATGTGTCTTACCTAACAAACTCCTTATTATTATTATTATTATTATTATTAAAGATTCGCTTGTATTCTCCCGGCCCGGGCCTTTTCCAAGTGGTGGCCCGGCTTTGGCTCCCTGTCTTGGGAGTGTCTGAGACCTAAGTCTCCCATGGGAGGAGGCACAAGTACCTCCTCATCATTGGGACCAACTGTCCCCAGGCCTAGCCACAAGCTAGGCCTTCTCATCTTCCACCTTTCTCTACACTGGACTGAGGAGCCACTGCGTGGCGAAACGTTCCCAGAATAAAGATTACCAAATGTTGCATAAGTATCTAATTTATTAGCTTGTCGGTTTTCTAAACACCCTTTCGGTTGTTGGCCGAATGTCACTGTTAAGCTTATTGATAACACTGAGTCGTTGAGGTCGTAACCCATCAAGGTACTAGCATCATGGATATTTTTATTCTTTATTTAAACTCTGTACATATATGCGCTGTTGCCTGAAACCAAAACCAGGCAGCAGACGTTTTGTATTTATGTTGGTAGAATTACCGACAATATGTAAAGTATAAGGGCACAAGTGCAACTAATGTAGCATTAGTTTCAGCTTTATCAAGCCGTTGCAAAGCTCCTGGAGAGCAAAACGTTGCCACAATAAAATGTCACATTAGTTACACTTGTGTCCTTTTACTTTACAGCAGACGTTTTGCCAAGGGCTGGCGATACATCTACGGCAGTAAAGATACCCAAGTGTTGTACATGTCTTGTGCATCTACTTGTCGGTTTTGTATACCATTAATATAATATAAAGAGAAATGTTGTCACAGTACAAACCTGTTATGTAACGTGTCTTTATCAGTGAAGACAGGTAGTGGAGGCAGATTCCGTCCATGGAGTCAAGAGTAGGTATGACAGGACCCAAGATGTTAGAAGTTAGGTACATCCCATTCAAATACAGATAAGTGAGTACTTGAGTTTAAGCTCTGTAATTGAGGGAGCGCGCTCGCACACACACACACACACACACACACACACACACACACACACACACACACACACACACACACACACACACACACACACAGCAGCAGTAGCAGCCAAACAACCCGTCTGCTCACCACTTCAGTGCCTCCTAAGTTACCTTCGTCACCTCTGGCTCTCACAAACCTCCAGATAGTACTGAGAACCACGAAAGTCAAGGCAAGTGCAACGATATGGTGGTTATAATGACGCACTCGTAATTACTACGTCAAGTTAGCTGTAAGACTTAGAACTAACCATCATTCCACCTTAATCACCAGTTTCTACGTCAAACTAGAATTTAGAACTAACCAAGCATGCCACTCGTACTAATTGCAACCGATTCACTTGAAACTTAAGAATAGTGGGTCTGTGGATGATAATCACGGCGATCAGTCAGCCAGGAAAAACCTTGTCGGGTCTGGCAAACAAATGGATGGGTAATCACATAATTACAGCCTCGTGTTTGGCTTTAGGGACCTCGACAGTCCATAGGTATACCTATTACTACTACTACTGTTACCAAAGTACTACTGTCACAGCTATTACTACTACTATCTCTACTACTACTACTACTACTACTACTACTACTACTACTAATAATAATAATAATAATAATAATAATAATAATTATAATAAATTATTATTATTATTATTATTATTATTATTATTATTATTATTATTATTATTATTATTATTATAGTCATCTATCTGTGTTCAAAGTCTGACCATTGTTGTTGTTGTGTGCTGGGTTTAAAGTCTATGGACTGTACGTGGAATTGGAGAGTAAAGAAAGGCATAAATACACCGACAATCAATAGGTTAATGGACACATATGCAACGTTTTAAATGTTTTAGGCAACGTTTCGCTCTTCAGTAGCTTCGTCAAGTCTCGGTGTACATAACCGGCATAAACAAACATAATGAACAAATAAGGTGTAAGGGCGGGGCCCGAGTGCAAGACAAACAACGGAGGTATTTAACTTAGGTTAGGCTAGGTAAGGCTTGTCAGGAAACTGGGTAAGTGCTTCCTGATGCGGTTCTAAGATGATGACCCGCCGTTGGAGCTTTTGGTCACCTGACCGAGGCCTTCCACTTGCTTACCGGTCCACGGTCCACCCCTTTAAAAATTATGGTCACAGTTATAACCATTTGGTAGTATTTAACAACTGAAATTTACATAAAAATATAAAAGAGCTAAGATTAACTCTATAATTATAAACACAAGAGGCTTTAGGTAATGGCTTTGTTGTGAGGTCTTACGACTGTTCTGGTATCAGCTTCCGTAGCTTAGAGATGAGAGTCACGACTCTCACCCGGGGTCTAATTTCCTGCAGGAAAAAGAATGAAAGAATAAGACTCTTCTTGATAGTACTTCAGAAATGTTATAGCTGACGTAGGTTTGGGTAATAGTATGGTAAACAGCAGTGAGGGAAGCGTCCAGACATTTCCTCCTGCTTAGATATGTTTGCTGGATAACTAACTTCGCATCACTCCACTTCACGAGATGGCCATGAGAACAGCAATGTATACATTTGTATTCTCTACTTCTTGTTTACAAATTCCTCGATGTTTCACCAACGTAACAATATTTTTGTATAAAGTAATGAATCAAGGTTTGATTGAGTGTTCTTACTGTATTATGAGTGAACTAAGAATTTTATGTGGGCACTAATCTTTTTCGTAGGCCCAAGTAAATTTCGTAAACCCTTGGCACTATTCCTGTAGTGACTGGGTAATTTACAGAGTAGTGAAAATCGTATCTACAAGCCGTTCCGAAGCATAGGCAATAAGTCATAGCAAATTTATCTTAAAGTACACGTATTCTTTTTCGTTGGCAGGCGTCCGTCGTAGTGGGAAGCCTGAACCCCTCTGAAGTGACTTCGCTGTCAAATCTCCTTGTCTCCTCGTACAGCAGCCTCGACACCGACCCACCACCAGCGCACACAGAGAACTCTCATTTCAGCATTAACGCCGGCCCAGCGCACACAGGAAACTCTCATTTCGGCAAATACCATATCACCAGCGACGGATTTGTCGTATCAAGCAAGGAAACCAAAATTCGCCCAGGTAAATTATTTCTTGCATTAGGTGTAGGTGTGTACTACTTCGCTTCTTTGGATGTCGCAGGCTCATTCTTGTTAGTCGTAACCACACGAATAAACAATTGAATAAAAGGGAAAAAATTAATATTGTCAAAGTAATTATTCAGTCAATTATTCAAAGCATCAAACTGAAGGATCACACCTGTTGCCAGCTGTTGTATTGACGACTATTACGCCATTATTTAATCGCATTTTTTCTTGGTCAACTTTCCAAGTGACGGATGTGAGTGGGATGTGTGCTGACCTTATCAAGCATCCATGTGGTGCATCCATCATCCAATATCCGGATTTGTCTGCCATTGTCTAAGATGGTAAACCAACTTAGGCAATGGCAGACAACTTGCGTATCCCACACTCATCCTGTGGACGGCCGTGAAAAGATCAGAGCTACAAAACAGATCCAGGGACAGGGTCCCATATATATATATATATATATATATATATATATATATATATATATATATATATATATATATATATATATATATATATATATATATATATATATATATATATATATATATATACAAGGAATTCGCGAGAGCAGGCGAAATATACACAAACATTGATCTCTGGCTGAAGGAGACTCGAACCTACGAACCTTAGGACAAGGGTACGCAGTGCTTTACCAATCTACCCACACTGGACAATACCTTGGCGTGTAGCATGCGCTACACCTTTGATCCAAGGCAGCCAGCTTTCAGGGAGAAGGCTTACAGCTTTTCATCTCATCCCCTGCATGCATCAGCCTTACTGGAGATTTGAACAATGCAAGGAATTCTCGAGAGCAGGCGAAATATACACAAACACTGATCTTTGGCTGAAGGAGAATCGAACCTACGAACCTTAGGACAAGGTACGCAGTGCTTTACCATATATATATATATATATATATATATATATATATATAATATATATATATATATATATATAAATATATATATATATATATATATATATATATATATATATATATATATATATATATATATATATATATATATATATATATATATATATGAATATATATATACTTATATGAATATATACTTATTTTATTCAGTGCCACTAGTAGTTAGTAATTAAGAATTCTTATTTACTCAGATATGGTAAACATGAGGAAATTAAATTTTCATCAGAGTAAAAAACAAATTCTGGCCACGAAAAGAGCAAACCCCAAACCAAAGACCGGGGAGTGATTATGTCGGGGGATCTCACCTTAAAGGGACCATAACTTGTACAATCGCATCTGCTAGAAAATGACGGAGGGATAATAGAACCTTCAAAACTAGGGGGGCCCAAGCCCAGATGACACTCTTCAGGTCACTTGTTCACTGGCTGAAAAATTGTTTGCACTCTAACACACCTTCAAGGCGGTGAAATTCCCGACCTAGAAAATGTACAAAACTTTCACGGCGCGCATAACGGAGATAAAACACCTAAATTATGGGACGTTTGAGTTTCAAAACCCTGTATTCCCGGAACCAGGAGGGAGAGATACAGTTTAAAATTACACCTGAAAATCCTAGGGGGACAGTACCGAACTTGCACACGAAAATCCTCACTACGTAAAAAAAAACTTGGCAGACGAGCACCATCCCCCCAATGAAAACAGGGTGTCACAAGCACGTTAAGAACCATACAATAAGGTCAGGGGCCCGAGACTGTTCAACTGCCTCCCAGCACACATAAGGGGGATTACCAACAGACCCCTGGCAGTCTTCAAGCTGGCACTGGACAAGCACCTAAAGTCAGTTCCTGATCAGCCGGGCTGTGGCTCGTACGTTGGTTTGCGTGCAGCCAGCAGCAACAGCCTGGTTGATCAGGCGCTGATCCACCAGGAGGCCTGGTCACAGACCGGGCCGCGGGGGCGTTGACCCCCGAAACTCTCTCCAGGTAAACTCCAGGTCTCCAGGTAAACAGGTACACATGACTATAATTATCATACATAGTGTAAATTACCTAGGGTAGCCCAAAGTAAGTCAACCAAAGTGACTTATTTCCATGGCCCTGTCTCTGGCCCCACTGTTTTGTTGGCTGTGGATTATGTATAATCCATAGGGGTTTAACGCATAGAATAAATATGGTAATTTTGGTTGAAGTGCTGATTATTATATTTATGCTGAATCTGTATGGATAATAACGCTGGGTGCCTGGCAACTGCGGCGTCTGAGTAGCGCTTACTAGCCTTCGGAGCCATCATAGAGTCATTCATGACTTCCTTGCATTTCCTCAGGGGATTCACTGGTGGCGCCGACGACCAATTCCTCTACCGTTGTACTCGGGGTGGGTCTGAGGCCACATGGAGGTCAGCACCAGTACCTTACGCCCATCACTACTTCCAACCCACCACCGTTCTCCGAAGCACCCATCCCTCCTTTCTCCACCACATCCATTCCACCTTTCTCCACCACACCCATTCCACCTCTCTCAACCGCACCCATTCCACATTTCTCTTCAACACCCGTCCCTCCTTTCTCCACCATTCCACCCTTCCCTCCATCTCTACCTTAATCAGCACCACCACCACCCTCTCCCCACATTTTTCATCCTCTTCTATTTCAAGTACATCTTATGCACCATCTATTCCCTCTTCTACACCCTCCCCACCAGTCTCAGTCACTGCCAGTCCTCTACCAGGCTCGCCTAATTTTCATTTCCAGCCCCTCCCATCCACCACTCATTCCCCTAGCCTCCCCACCAGCACCCATAATCCACTTATCCCCACCACTACGTACTTGCCACCGAAAATCCCAAGTACTCCAAGACCGACGTTTGGGCCCACCCTCCGCCCTATTCTTCCCTCCACGCCTTCCTCCTCCTTGGAACCGGCTACCACTCCAGTCTTCCACGTTACAAAGACCCCAGCCACTGCCACCTCGAGCCCAATCTTCCACTTGACACCCCCCACCATTAACAACGGACAATTCCTCCCAGGGAAACAAAGTGACAGCGTTTCCTCAAGCTTCGGGAGCCACAGAAGGCCTCGCCCTTTCGACTTGTTCAACGAGGACTCAGTTTGGTTCATCTTGTAAGTTGTTGGAACATAGAAGTGAGGAGTAGAGTTGTAAAGAAACCATACCACGGGCAGGTTAGAACCCGCGACAATCTAAAACCCAGACCGAACGCCACCACTGGGCCCAGCTGGCTACAATCGTGCAATCCGTGTCATTACGATTTCGTGTGTAGAGCTGTAAAGAGTGAGAGAGGTGCGAGAGTTGGAATATGGAAACAAACGAGGAGATCATGTTTAAAGGTTAACCCTACAGAGCTGTGGAGAAATGAAGAGGCGACTTGTAATGAACGAGAAGGTGTGAGAGATGAATATGGAAAGCACAAGAGGAGAGATCACGTAAAGACATTAACACTACAAACAGCAAGAGGGGAGAAATAATGAAAACAACTAAAAAACCAAATGAAAAACCCAAAGGGACCCTCTTTTATATCTACAAACAACTTTTCAAATAAAACAATTGGGTTTTTATATAAATGGGCGCACTTTTTCCTATTTATCGCTTCAAACCATTATTACCAACACACTTAAATGGGAGCCTTATCTTTCTCCTTTCCTGTCGTGTTAAATGCTACTTTCAGCGAGAGCGAGGAGTGTGCTTTGGGGCATTCACACAGGACATCGGGGTCCTCTCAACCTGGAGGGGGGAGGAGGTGTGCTGCGAAAACTCACTTCGGACGCTCCAGCATGACACAACCGATGATCACGTCCCCTCCCCCTTCACGAGAAAAAAGGCAACGCAACGTACAGGCCGATAAGGGGGGAACTCCTTTAGAGACAGCACAAACAGTGGGACTGAAGGACTGGGAGAACATGGGTCTTTAAAGGGCTCGACCTAAGGGGGGCTTTGATAGACATGACACGAAGTGGGGATCCTGGAGGGAAAGAAAATGGGAGAATGATTGTTGTTGGAGACAGATAATAAGCAAAGATCTTACTTGCTTTCAAGGTGACTGAAGATGCTCATGGAAAATCTGGAAGAGGGTATTAAGGAAAAATATGATAATGAAAGAGAGAATTATGGGAAAATATAGTAATAGAGGGAAATGAATAAAACAAAAGTGCAACGTTTGGGTATTTTTATTCAGAGTCGTTTCACCTGCTAGCTATGCAGACGAAACGTCTCAGTAAAGATACCCAAGGTACACGCGTTATGTTCGTCATACTGTCAGTATTATACCCTTCATCTGAGAATAGAAGGGGAACTAGGAAAAAATTTACTAGTAGAAGAGGGGGGGGATTAAGTAAAGGTCATGAAAAAGAGATGTTAGGGAAATAATATTGATAATTCAGTAAACAGAAAATGTATGAGAGTTGTTGGATGCTTGAGAGCTTATCGTATGACTTTCACGGTTTTGGCGCTTTCCCATAATAATAACAATAATAAACTTGTAGAAAGACAAATCACAGAATGGGTGGGGATCGAACCCATGGCAGGTGAGTCGTAAAACTGTGTGATTTGTTTGTAATCGTGTTATTGCGATTTCGTGAGTCGAGTTTGGTAGAAAGGCACTTTGTGCGGCGCGAAACTTTATTATAGCCGACGTTTCGGTCTCGGAAGAGCGAAACCAGAGAGAAAAGTACAATGATGGGTACCAGGTATCTTTCCTGTTGTATTTGTGTACAGTACCTGCCGTCAACATGACATACTGAACTAATGGTTCAAGTTCTTAACTGTAGACCTAGTTTACAGGGGTGAAGCCACTTCTGAAGTCAGTCCTGGGGGATTTAACGACAAAGTAATGACAGTGACACAGTACTGGCATTGACACAGCACTGGCAGTGACACAGTACTGACAGTGAGATAGCAATGAGAGTAGCGCCTTACTGGCGTCATGCTGGGTACAAACGCGGCTTCTCGTTACCTCTCGGTAAAATGCTAGTCACCTCTGCACCATTTAAAATAAAATGTGGCCCAAAGTCAGATCAAAAGTAATATGATGCTAATGATTAATAATCAGTAACTAACTGACAAGGGGGGATTCACGACATAGTAACGTATATAGTGAATTAAAACCACTGCAAAGTCCCCCAGCACTGACTTCAGAAGTGGCTTCACCCTCTGAAGCAGGTTTCACAAGACCAGCCAGAGCCATTTTGATCTCCATGGATGCCAGACGCCGTATGTCTGATTGTGACCAACTTTACTCTCCCCATAATGAAGGAACAATGAAGTTATTGTATTACCTCCCTCCCTCTGAAGTGGTCGGGCTGGTAGAGTTGGCGAGTTGCACAATTTACAAATTCCATCTCAAGTGGATGATGACCAGAGCAACATATCACACTGACAGTGACACGGTGATGACAGTGACACAATGCTGACAGAGACACAGTGCTGACAGTGATGCAGAACCGAAGGTTACACAGTGGCCCAGTACTGACAGTGCTACAGAAGTGACGGTGACACAGTAGTGGCAGTGACATTAAAACGGCGATGACACAGTACTGACAGTGACATAGCGGTGATAAAACCGGATCTCTGTCACGGGAAACAACCATGGCAGGATATATAAGATATTGTGTGAGAGATATCTGACTCTCGTGTTATATGATACGACCCCGTGCGCGCGTATGTATGTTTGCGTGTTTGTAGTAGTTAGTGTGTGTGTTCTCACCTAGTTGTGGTTGCGGGGGTCGAGTCACAGGTCCTGGCCCCGTGTGTGTGTGTGTGTGTGTGTGTGTGTGTGTGTGTGTGTGTGTGTGTGTGTGTGTGTGTGTGTGTGTGTGTGTGTGTGTGTGTGTGTGTGTGCGTGTGTGTGTGTGTTCTGTTTGTATGTGCGTGTGGTGTGTACTCATTTATCTGTATTCACCTATTTTTGGTTGAAGGGGTCTCATCTCATCTCCTCGCCCTACTTCTCAGCTGGCCGCTACTGGATTCACCCTCCTGGTTGACTGAGCCTTATTATACTTATTCTTTAAACTATGTATGAATCCTACCACTGCAGCTTTACCTACCTAGACTAAAGTAGTATTTCCTAACTTCTCTATGACTCATCTGTGTTTTTAAGGTGTGTCTGTAACCCGCCTCTCGAGCAGATTCATCCTGTCAGTTTCTCTGAATATTTTGTATATCGTAATCATGTCACCGCTGGTCCTTCTGTCTTCTAATGGTGTCAAGTTCGATTTATTCTCACCTGTCTCATAACTCACACACCTCAACTCTGGCACTAGTTTCGTCGCAAACTGTAGTGGGTATTCCAGCTTCTTTACATCCTTTATCAGCTGCGGATTCCATACTGGCATACTCCAAGTTGGGCCTGACGTGTGCCTGTCGTGAATGCCTCCTTGTTAAGGTTCCTGTATGTGTGTGAAGATGACCTTTTTGTAATTACCTACATGTGCTTACGAAGACCAAGCTCTAGCCCTTGGTCCCATATCATGGTCCTGCCGACAAGATATAGCCCTGTCATATCTGCTGTTGAATCCGCTTTTTGTTGATGAGATGTTTCCTGATAGTCCTTTGGGTCATCAGAGTGTGTAATTACCAACCACACCCCCTTGTTCTTGTTGCATCTCCCGGGTAAACAGCCTCCCCTTGTCTACCCCGTCTGTGCTCCACAGTATTTTGTCTGTCTTGACCATGAAGAGACGAAACGCGTTGTAGATCATATATTTAGTAGGAGGGAGGAGGGATTGTTCCTGGCTTAATTAGCAGCGGTCTCGGGGCACACACTGAGAATCTGAGGTTCGATCCTCGGACGAGTGGAACGATAATCGTGTTTCATTACACCTACTGCTGCTCCTATTCACCTAGTAGTAAGTAGGTACCTGGGTGTTAGCCTTTTGGTGTGGGCTGCATCCTGGGGGGGGGGAATAAGATTAAAGGAAGCCAATGGAAATAAGCCAGCCTGACGACTTGGCTTCATTGGGTTATCTTGGTTTATTAACCAGGATAACCAGTGTTTAATTCAAATTAAAGTCTTCGACGTTCTCCCTATAAAAGCCAGTTCTGGAACGTAAGTCTTGAGTATTATTGGCGGCACGCCGTTCAGATCACCTCGTAGCAGCACGCCGTTCAGATCACCTCGTAGCAGCACGCCGTTCAGATCACCTCGTAGCAGCACGCCGTTCAGATCACCTCGTAGCAGCACGCCGTTCAGATCACCTTGTAGCAGCACGCCGTTCAGATCACCTTGTAGCAGCACGCCGTTCAGATCATCTCTAGTATATTAACCACGCCCTCTTAATATAGCAACCACGCTCACACCTCCCTCAGTATCGCATTATACGAAGCTCTAACCCGTATGGTCACCGATTTAGAGCTACCCTACCTTATTTTCAAACCAATACTGACTGCTTCCTATCACAGATGTGAAAGTCAATACACCTGGAATATAGCAACCACACGTCTGTATAATATAATAGCTGCAAGTCTGTAAAACGACCACAAGTCTATATAATATGGCACCTCTTATACGTGAGTTAAACAGCATCCTGAGTTGTTATATGTGGTTAAATTTAAGGTATCATTATGCTGTGCATGAACATTGTACATGTTGTGAGTGTAGATTGTACATGTTGTGAGTGTAGATTGTACATGTTGTGAGTGTAGATTGTACATGTTGTGAGTGTAGATTGTACATGTTGTGAGTGTATATTATACATGTTGTGAGTGTAGATTGTACATGTGAGTGTAGATTGTACATGTGAGTGTAGATTGTACATGTGAGTAAAGTGTACATGTTGTGAGTGCAGATTGTACATGTTGTGAGTAAAGAGTGTACATGTTGTGAGTGTATATTGTACATGTGAGTAAAGTGTACATGTTGTAAGTGTAGATTGTACATGTGAGTAAAGTGTACATGTAAGTGTAGATTGTACATGTGAGCAAAGTGTACATGTTGTAAGTGTAGATTGTACATGTGAGTAAAGTGTACATGTTGTGAGTGTATATTGTACATGTGAGTAAAGTGTACATGTTGTGAGTGTAGATTGTACATGTGAGCAAAGTGTACATGTTGTAAGTGTAGATTGTACATGTGAGTAAAGTGTACATGTTGTAAGTGTAGATTGTACATGTGAGCAAAGTGTACATGTTGTAAGTGTAGATTGTACATGTGAGTAAAGTGTACATGTTGTGAGTGTAGATTGTACATGTGAGTAAAGTGTACATGTTGTGAGTGTAGATTGTACATATTGTGATTAAAGTGTGTACATGTTGTGAGTGTATATTGTACATGTGAGTAAAGTGTACATGTTGTGAGTGTTGATTGTACATGTTGTGAGTAAAGAGTGTACATGTTGTGAGTGTAGATTGTACATGTGAGTAAAGTGTACTTGTTGTGAGTGTATATTGTACATGTTGTGAGTAAAGAGTGTACATGTTGTGAGTAAAGAGTACATGTGAGTCAAGAGTGTACATGTTGTGAATAAAGAGTGCACATGTTGTGAGTGTAGTTTGTACATGTTGTGAGTGAAGATTGTACATGTGAGTAAAGATTGTATACGTTATGAGTAAAAGTTACATTGACTGTCACCTCTCTCTCTCTCTCTCTCTCTCTCTCTCTCTCTCTCTCTCTCTCTCTCTCTCTCTCTCTCTCTCTCTCTCTCTCTCTCTCTCTCTCTCTCTCTCTCCTCTCTCTCTCCTCCCCTCCCTCTCTCCCTCCTCTCTCTCTCTCTCTCTCTCTCTCTCTCCCTCCCTCCTTCTCTCTCTCTCCCTCCCTCCTTCTCCCTCTCATCCTCCGTGATATTTACATTGTTTAATCTCAAATATTTTTTGCCTAGTGGTTGGTTGTCTTCATGCTAGTAAAGGGCTCTTGATCCTAGGAATCGGAGTTTTCCCTCTTTCCTCTGATCAGACTTATCATCCATGAGTTTCTCCATTATTATAATAACAACAACAATAATAATAATATTAAATACATCGAAGTTAGAAGGCAATACAGTACGTGCAAATTTTCTCTTATAGGTTCAAATTCCTCCATAATTTTCCTTTGCCTTTGTAAACCTTGATTTACAAGTGAAATTGTGTATGTATATATGTATGTACAGGCGATGGTGTGTATCATCATAGAAATGGTGTACACATCTCTTGACTCCTAGCGTTCACCTTGTCTGATATCTGATGCACGTAACAACCCTCTATTGTATCCATACACTGTGCCAGTACACTATATCCATACACTACCCATACGCTGTATCCACACACACGTGGATACAGCATCGTTTTAATGACAGTAATCGACAAAAGACACATATCTAGAACGAATTTTTATTCTTGCAATGTTTTACTTAGTACAGAACTTCATCAGGTCGGCTAACAGACTAGATGAAATTTCTGTACAGAGCTAAACAAGAGCTAAACAATGTCACAATAAAAGCCTGTCCTCGCATGTCTCTCTTCCTTGGCATACACAGGCATCTGCTTGTTGTAATTCTGCCCCTACAATCACCTATCATCCTCTATTAATTTCTAATTCGTACACCGCCAAGAAAAAAGCCTAGCCGTCTCTTATCCAAGATGTGGCGGCATGAATTAATACCCAGTTTAATTATGCTGAATATATTTTACATTACCTGCCTGAGGGATTCGAGTCGACCTTGTAGTTAATTCAGCAAGGTAACCATCCGGCATGAGCCATGGGGTGGGCTAAGTAAATAGTTACCTCTCGCTCTAACCTTCTAAAATGTCGTAAACATTAGGGGTAGCCACACAGTGCGGTGTATCTTTTAAATAATATATATGTATTGCATTAAGTTTGAAACCAAATAAGGAGACTTGCTTAGTGTATATGTGTGAAGAGGTGTGAGTCAGAAGACATGAACTCTTTGTTAGGGTGAATCATGAGTATTGCATCCTAGCTGCAAGTGCTCCACCTCTTTCTTTCTCTGCTACCATGACTATGTGTGTGTGTTCACCTATATGTGATTGCAGGGGTCGATTCACAGCTCCTGGCCTCTCCCCTTCGCTCGTCGCTACTAGGTCCACTCTTTCCTGGTTCCAAGAGCCTTATCGTACCTCTTTTTCAAGCTATATGTGGATCCTGCCTCTACTGCTTCACTCTACAGATTGTTTTACTTCCTGTGTGTTAGTTATTTTAGTTAACATTTTGTCAAGGGCACTTGTCGATAAGACACTTGGCCTGTTCGGTTTTGTTAGTGTGTGTGTGTGTGTGTGTGTGTGTGTGTGTGTGTGTGTGTGTGTGTGTGTGTGTAAATCAATGAATTGCTAACAGATTTGCCTGATTAACAACTCCCTCATATCCTTGGGAACTGGAGGTAATAAGTTTCACCCAAGGAATATTAGTGTAGCTGTAATTCTTTGAATCAAGAGCCCGTCATCAGCCATCAGCACTTGGTTTATTACGTTTAAAGCTTATCGACTACACGAGGGTCATTAAGGTTACGTATAACGTTTTCAACATCGGTCAAGAACACTTTAAAGCCTACAATAGGGATTATAGTGAACTCTCAGTGTATACACTGAGATTACAGATATTACACAGAGATACGTAATGGGTCCAGGGACTGGGCCCCAAAGTTTTGATAGCTGAACTAGGTACAAAGGTAATGAACTCACAAGTTACAAAGGTAATGAATCCTGTAAGAATGGTTATTTACGTTTATACATGGCTACAATCATGAACAAATTATAGAGTAATGAGCAATTCACACTTCCACACCCAGTCACAACTGTAATGAGTTATTGGTGCAAATATTGATTGTTGAGTCACACACACACACACACACACACACACACACACACACATACACTTTTCGTGAAGTCCAGGCAGGCTTCGCCTCCGACGGGAGTTCCCTGTATTGAGTATTGTAACACACAGGTCTCTCCCACCCGCAGCACTCTCAGCAGGGGTCTCAGGCGAACACCTTGGGCGACAGGAAACCTCCCATGCCCCAGCTAGTGGGAGCAGATGGTCTTCCGTTCCCACCTTCGTCAGGAGGCTTCCCCGAGTTCGGTGACCTGTCAAGACCACCTAATACCACAGGTACGTAGGTTACCTACATTTTTTTTTTTCGGGAGGGGGGCGCAGGCGAACGACGAAGTGTTCGATCATATTTTACCACTCTTATTATGTATTTATGCTTCGTTGGGCTGATACCTTTTCACTTCCAGCATTCCTCTGCGATTCTTAACCATAAGAACCATACTTAACAAAACTCGGCCATAATTTTTCCTCTCAGTGTTATTACATTAGCGAAATACTAATACAGAGAGGGCATCATTTCGCATAAACTTTTTTCACTTTGTAAAGCTACTTCAACCTTTCTTCTCAAGTAATATAAGTCCAAGTGTACTCCTATTAATCCTTTTGGGGCCTAGTTCCTAGGCCTTTTGTGTATCTATATGCTCTTGCGCTACCGTCCACTGGATGGATATGGGGTGCCCAATAAACTAGCCACTTCGGTGGCAAAATCTAATCTTCTCAAGATGATTACTATGTTTTCCTGTTTGTTTTTTCTATTGGTTTAATTTTCGTTGCGTCTTAGTATAGCACCTAATAATACTGGCTTTGATTTGCAACCCCTCAAGGAAGGTTCCTTGATGTTGGTGAGGGGCTCTTGATTTAGGGAATTGGATCTGTGCTCCAGTTCCCCGAATTAAGCCTGAATGCCTTCCACATCCCCCCCCCCCAGGCGCTGTATAATCCTCCAGGTTTAGCGCTTCCCCCTTGATTATAATAATAATAATTTGATTTGCAATAACATGGATCAGTAAACAATATCACCATCTTGCGTGTGCAGGAGGATCCCCTAGCTCAGGTGGTCCTCCACGTCAGGTGATACAAGAAGAGCTGGCCAAGCTGCCGGCGTACCTGAAGGAGGCTCCCATCTGCGCCACACACCCCACGAACAGGTCCTTCTGCCTCATGCCGATGGGATATCCGAGGTATGTGTTCCCAAGGGTAGTCCCATCAATATAACAACGATATCATTATCACTGCTCCACCAACCTTAACCATATTTCAGTAGCGCTATTACATCACAGTCACCACATCAACCATTGGCACCATCACTATTACATCACAATTACTACAACAATCATGTCACAATCGCTACTACACTACCATTACCACAACCAGCATTTCGCCAGTACCACTACACCACCAATATCAACATCTGAAAAATCAAGGATTAATAGAGAGTCGAGTGCTGACCTTGTGATTATGAAATTTCAGTTTGTGGTGAAAAGTATAAGTATTATCGACCATATCGAAGCACTTCGTGTGAGTTTGTTAGAGATTTCTGATTTTATAAAATATATTTCACAATAAAAACTACCACAGTGGAAAAAATAAATGTTTTTTTTTTCTGTTTATTTTCTCATTGTGGTATTTTTGTTTGATATTTGCAGTCACGCATTTATTGTAATTTCTTACATAACAGTTAAGTAACAAATTATGTAAGGAGTACTGAGGACTAACCCGGGGACCTCATACACGCAAGATCACGACCATACTGCCTGGGCAACTGTACAAAATCTTCCACACTTGGTCTTGTACTTAGACACAGGACTGTAAAGCCTTTAGCTCTTACCTAAATCGCATTTTGAGGGATGATCGACAGTACACAACTCTACAACATCTAAAACCGGGCAGTCATAGTCTGTTATGGTTGTAACCTCATGTGTGTATAATGTAGCTAGATGGGCCTCCAGTCCAGTAATATACTGCATAGCACTACACAATACTGTCTTTAACTGTACAAAACTTCAACGCCAACGCCACATGTAGTTAGTCATAGAAGTTTTCTCCTAATGACCAGATTTTATATTACTGATGACATTATTATTGTACTAGTTATTAATAGGATTGTCATTAATGTTGTTTATGGTTTGTACCAATAGTATTATTTTTGTTATTGTTTTGGGGTTCTTATTTTTGTCTCTCCCTCTCTGACAGTGAGCTGGCGTCCTCCCTCGTAGACAAATACCGGGAGGAGATATCGGAGATCCGCGAGGTACTGGCAGATCTGCCGGAACCTTCCCTTCACCTGTCAGCTGCCCTCGACCAGTTCCCCAACATAGATACCAGGTAGCCCATTATCTACCTTTCTCCCACCGTCTTCACTTTCGATTCCTCTGGAACACGGTAGCATTTGTGTAGGATACACTGGGACCCTGGTTGGAATACTTAAATATCTAAGATACTGAACGAAGTAAACGCATGGGGTTTACTGTTGGTGTTCGTGCGAGTATCTCTCTAGCTTGTACCAGATTATGGCAGTAGCAGGTTGTTAGTACCTGACTGGCATACAGTGGCTCTCTGGCAATTGATTTAGAAAGTGTAATGTGGTTGGAGAACTTGGGAATTATAATTTAAAATATTATTTAACTTGAAAATATACTATGCCATTAAATTCTTATGTAGTTCAGTTCGGAGTTGCTTTACATGAATTGAATGGACTGATATAAACTAGACTCTAGAGCCTTAGGCTATATTTCATAATTTTTTGTTTAAATATGTTTTGTATAGTAGATATCATTATACGTTGCAGCGTGGAGTGTGACAGCGTGGAGAAGACTGTTCATCTGAGCTGGGCACAGGATGTGTTGGGCAGCTGGTTCGTCATTATGCAGACGCCTCCTTTCACCCAGCCAGTCACTGTAACCACCTGCAGGTGGGTACGAAGGTGAAGGGTGCCCACTTAGTGTGCCTATGTAATTGCATAGTGGAATTTACAGAGATTGAACTCTGACTCCTGGCCCTTCCACCTAACATTCGATCGACTGGAAGGGTTGACCTCTGTTGCACATAAAATAAGTTGCTTTTCCAATTTGTTTCTGGTAGTTATTAGCCTGGCTCACCTAGACCAGGAACTAAAGTGAACTTTTGTGTGCCCACAGCTCGCTTGCCCGCAGACAAGGCTGCCGACCTCTGCTGCAGGCTCGTCCTCTGCTCGCCCTACAGCCTCGAGACACGCACCCTCGACCCTTCCTCTTCGACTTTCCCCTGCCAGTGGCGTGTGTCTTCGCCGACCCCCTGCAGAGTGTAAGCCTCCCTCAGCAGGTCCAGTAGGCTCTTTGAAGCCTACATCTGCCCTTTCAGCTTGCAGCTTTTTCCAGCCCAACCTAAGTGTAGACCACATGATTGCAACTGTCTTTTTTCATGTCCGGTTTGATGTGATAGATTGCTGCATATAGTTCCAGTGTGATATATGTGAATTGTATAAGTGTTATTTATTGTGGGTGTAATTAGAGCACGGGTAACGACCTGTAGTTTGAAATTAATGAAAGAATTATTGTATGTATATGGAAGGTTTGAAGGCTTGGAAATGACAGGTGGTGCGGTTCCACTGCAGGCCTCCAGCTCTGCTGTGACTGTTGTGACCTCAGATGACCAGCCAGTGACTTCGCCCCTTGACTCTGACTTCGACCGCCTCCTTCCTTCCGCCACGCCCTACACAACCTCCCGCCAGACTGCTGACTCCATGACCTCACCAGCGAGTGAGTCAATCCCAGCGTTACCCGTGACATCATCACTCCGTAATTCACTCATGCCCTTCCCTAAGACGTCACTGTCAAGTCAACCAATCCCTGGTGTCCTCGTGACGTCGCAGGCTTTCCCGCAAGCCCCGCTTCCCCTGCGTCCGGATACGTTGCCTCCTGCTGCGACCGGAGACTTCCGTACTGATGCAGACATAGTACACGATGAAGTGGAAGCCGAGGTTACGCAAAACTCGGGATGCGCCAACCTCCTGACTCATGTCTTCACAGTCTCACTCTCAGTAATTCTGCTTGCACAAAGATGATTGCTTTATCCTGCGCATTTATGTGCTAATTGTGCCTGATTAATACATCTTAAAGCTTTATAAATGATATAGTATAATGGGATCTTTAGCTCTGAATGCACAACACGCACAGGTTACATTAGTATAACCTTAAAGTAGGTTAGGCAAACATACCATTCAGGTGGAGGACTTGATGACATAAGAAATGCTCATTCATTGGTTAGTCAGCCGCTGACAATAATAAGCAACACACTGCTTGAAGACTCCACCATCTTGACACTTGCAAGAATGGGTGACTGATGCTGTGATGCCTTGTAAGATAAGGTTAGATGAGCTTCAGTCAGGTTAGATACAGGTGATTTCATAGACATATAGGCGTATAATGGAGATACAGTAGTCTTCCATTTACCTTCTCTCCTTTCCCTCTCTGATAATACATTTTGTAAGAACATACTGTATAATTCTGCTGGCAACCTGCGCCATAATTATAGAGCTTAGAAATTCATTCTTGGACATTATTCATTGTGAGATTTATATTGTTTTTCATTGTGGACATACAAGACCTGTCCTATATGTTTTCATTAAAGTTTATGTCATATATATCTGTAATGCTACAGTACTCTCTAATTTCATGTAGAATAAACAAAGCCTGTATTTTCATGAAATATTTGTGGATTCCAAATTCCCTGTAGTTTCTTCCTGCTGTAGAATGCATTTAATTTAAGGTTCATGGACCAAATATTATTATTTTTTTTTGTTGAGCAGATAAAGTGTAAAATTAAATTGTTTCTAAATTAGTGAATCCTTTATATTATTATTTTTATAATCATAAAGAAGCGCTAAACCTACAAGGGTCATACAGCGCTATGTGCTGAATAGTTTTATAATGCATACAGACACTGCAAAGCCTATCTGTGGACGGTATTTAAAAGATTACAAGTGCATTATGGGTCCAGGGACTAGAACCCAGCATTATGTTAGCTAAGGCAACTTGCAGTGGTAATGAAACACAAACTGATCAGTAGCGAGGTGATGTGAGTGAGTTGGTAAACTAACTTATTTGTTATATATGTGAGGTTATATGTCATTCGAATACTTGTACCTAACCTGAAAAAAAAATAAACAATTGAAAAAAATGTGTATCACTTATACTTAAATATGTGTATGTGCCTTATATCAACTTGGTCCTCTTGTAGATTATTAATTTTGCATCGTATTACTGAAATTTTGTATTGCATTTAAGATGAGTTTTCCTTGATGCTGGTGAAGGGCACTTGATCCAAGGCATTAAAGCTACCCCTCGCTGTCCTATGATCAAAGCCAATTGCTACCCATCCATCAGTACGGATATTCCAGAATTTCATACACTTAGCCCTATCTACCTCAGTTATCCAAGAAAATTATCCCCGTATCCCATAAGCCTAGTCCCTTCTACCTCAATGATCAAAGACAAGCACCCCGTATACCTGGAGTTTACCTGGAGAGAGTTCCGGGGTCAACGCCCCCGCGGCCCGGTCTGTGACCAGGCCTCCTGGTGGATCAGAGCCTGATCAACCAGGCTGTTGCTGCTGGCTGCACGCAAACCAACGTACGAGCCACAGCCCGGCTGGTCAGGAACTGACTTTAGGTGCTTGTCCAGTGCCAGCTTGAAGACTGCCAGGGGTCTGTTGGTAATCTCCCTTATGTATGCTGGGAGACAGTTGAACAGTCTCGGGCCCCTGACACTTATTGTATGGTCTCTTAACGTGCTAGTGACACCCCTGCTTTTCATTGGGGGGATGTTGCATCGTCTGCCAAGTCTTTTGCTTTCGTAGTGAGTGATTTTCGTGTGCAAGTTCGGTACTAGTCCCTCTAGGATTTTCCAGGCGTATATAATGATGTATCTCTCCCGCCTGCGTTCCAGGGAATACAGGTTTAGGAACCTCAAGCGCTCCCAGTAATTGAGGTGTTTTATCTCCGTTATGCGCGCCGTGAAGGTTTTCTGCACATTTTCTAGGTCAGCAATTTCACCTGCCTTGAAAGGTGCTGTTAGTGTGCAGCAATATTCCAGCCTAGATAGAACAAGTGACCTGAAGAGTGTCATCATGGGCTTGGCCTCCCTAGTTTTGAAGGTTCTCATTATCCATCCTGTCATTTTTCTAGCAGATGCGATTGATACAATGTTATGGTCCTTGAAGGTGAGATCCTCCGACATGATCACTCCCAGGTCTTTGACGTTGGTGTTTCGCTCTATTTTGTGGCCAGAATTTGTTTTGTACTCTGATGAAGATTTAATTTCCTCGTGTTTACCATATCTGAGTAATTGAAATTTCTCATCGTTGAACTTCATATTGTTTTCTGCAGCCCACTGAAAGATTTGGTTTGGTTGATGTCCGCCAGGAGCCTTGCAGTGTCTGCAATGGAAGACACTGTCATGCAGATTCGGGTGTCATCTGCAAAGGAAGACACGGTGCTGTGGTTGACATCCTTGTCTATGTCGGATATGAGGATGAGGAACAAGATGGGAGCGAGTACTGTGCCTTGTGGAACAGAGCTTTTCACCGTAGCTGCCTCGGACTTTACTCTGTTGACGACTACTCTCTGTGTTCTGTTAGCGAGGAAATTATAGATCCATCGACCGACTTTTCCTGTTATTCCTTTAGCACGCATTTTGTGCGCTATTACGCCATTACCTGGAGTTTACCTGGAGAGAGTTCCGGGGGTCAACGCCCCCGCGGCCCGGTCTGTGACCAGGCCTCCTGGTGGATCAGAGCCTGATCAACCAGGCTGTTACTGCTGGCTGCACGCAAACCAACGTACGAGCCACAGCCCGGCTGATCAGGAACCGACTTTAGGTGCTTGTCCAGTGCCAGCTTGAAGACTGCCAGGGGTCTGTTGGTAATCCCCCTTATGTATGCTGGGAGGCAGTTGAACAGTCTCGGGCCCCTGACACTTATTGTATGGTCTCTTAACGTGCTAGTGACACCCCTGCTTTTCATTGGGGGGATGTTGCATCGTCTGCCAAGTCTTTTGCTTTCGTAGTGAGTGATTTTCGTGTGCAAGTTCGGTACTAGTCCCTCTAGGTCTAGGATTTTCCAGGTGTATATAATCATGTATCTCTCCCGCCTGCGTTCCAGGGAATACAGGTTCAGGAACCTCAAGCGCTCCCAGTAATTGAGGTGTTTTATCTCCGTTATGCGTGCCGTGAAGGTTCTCTGTACATTTTCTAGGTCAGCAATTTCACCTGCCTTGAAAGGTGCTGTTAGTGTGCAGCAATATTCCAGCCTAGATAGAACAAGTGACCTGAAGAGTGTCATCATGGGCTTGGCATCCCTCGTTTTGAATTTTCTCATTATCCATCCTGTCATTTTTCTAGCAGATGCGATTGATACAATGTTATGGTCCTTGAAGGTGAGATCCTCCGACATGATCACTCCCAGGTCTTTGACGTTGGTGTTTCGCTCTATTTTGTGGCCAGAATTTGTTTTGTACTCTGATGAAGATTTAATTTCCTCGTGTTTACCATATCTGAGTAATTGAAATTTCTCATCGTTGAACTTCATATTGTTTTCTGCAGCCCACTGAAAGATTTAGTTGATTTCCGCCTGGAGCCTTGCAGTGTCTGCAATGGAAGACACTGTCATGCAGATTCGGGTGTCATCTGCAAAGGAAGACACGGTGCTGTGGCTGACATCCTTGTCTATGTCAGATATGAGGATGAGGAACAAGATGGGAGCGAGTACTGTGCCTTGTGGAACAGAGCTTTTCACCGTGCCTGCCTCGGACTTTACTCTGTTTACTACTCTGTGTTCTGTTAGTGAGGAAATTATAGATCCATCGACCGACTTTTCCTGTTATTCCTTTAGCACGCATTTTGTGCGCTATTACGCCATGGTCACACTTGTCGAAGGCTTTTGCAAAGTCTGTATATATTACATCTGCATTCTTTTTGTCTTCTAGTGCATTTAGGACCTTGTCGTAGTGATCCAATAGTTGAGACAGACAGGAGCGACCTGTTCTAAACCCATGTTGCCCTGGGTTGTGTAACTGATGGGTTTCTAGATGGGTGGTGATCTTGCTTCTTAGGACCCTTTCAAAGATTTTTATGATATGGGATGTTAGTGCTATCGGTCTGTAGTTCTTTGCTGTTGCTTTACTGCCCCCTTTGTGGAGTGGGGCTTTGTCTGTTTTTTTAGTAACTGTGGGACGACCCCCGTGTCCATGCTCCCTCTCCATAGGATGGAAAAGGCTCGTGATAGGGGCTTCTTGAAGTTCTTGATGAACACGGAGTTCCATGAGTCTGGCCCTGGGGCAGAGTGCATGGGCATGTCATTTATCGCCTGTTCGAAGTCATTTGGCGTCAGGATAACATCGGATAGGCTTGTGTTAACCAAATTTTGTGGCTCTCTCATAAAAAATTAATTTTGATCTTCGACTCTCAGTCTGGTTAGCGGCTTGCTAAAAACTGAGTCATATTGGGACTTGAGTAGCTCACTCATTTCCTTGCTGTCATCTGTGTAGGACCCATCTTGTTTAAGTAGGGGCCCAATACTGGACGTTGTTCTCGACTTTGATTTGGCATAGGAGAAGAAATACTTTGGGTTTCTTTCGATTTCATTTATGGATTTTAGTTCTTCCCGCGATTCCTGACTCCTATAAGATTCCTTTAGCTTAAGTTCGATGCTTGCTATTTCTCTGATAAGTGTCTCCCTACGCATTTCAGATATATTGACCTCTTTTAGCCGCTCTGTTATTCTTTTCCGTCGCCTGTAAAGGGAGCGCCTGTCTCTTTCTGTTTTACATCTACTCCTCCTTTTTCTTAGAGGAATAAGCCTTGTGCATACATCGAGTGCCACCAAGTTAATCTGTTCTAGGCATAAGTTGGGGTCTGTGTTGCTTAGTATATCTTTCCAGCTTATATCGGTTTGGACTTGGTTTACTTGGTCCCACTTTATGTTTTTGTTATTGAAGTTGAATTTAGTGAATGCTCCCTCGTGACTAGTCTCATTATGTCGGTCTGGGGCTCCACGCATACATGTCTGAACCTCAATTATGTTGTGATCTGAGTATATTGTTTTTGATATGGTGACATTTCTTATCAGATCATCATTGTTAGTGAAGATGAGGTCTAGTGTATTCTCCAGTCTAGTAGGCTCTATTATTTGCTGGTTTAAATTGAATTTTGTGCAGAGATTTAAAATCTCGTGTGAGTGTGAGTTTTCATCAGAGCTGCCTCCTGGTGTTATTACTGCAACAGTATTATTTGCTATATTCCTCCATTTTAGGTGCCTTAAGTTGAAATCCCCCAGGAGCAAGATGTTGGGTGCAGGAGCTGGAAGATTTTCCAGACAGTGGTCAGTTTTTAACAGCTGTTCCTGGAATTGCTGGGATGTTGCATCCGGAGGCTTGTAGACTACCACAATGACTAGGTTTTGGTTCTCGACCTTTACTGCTAAAACTTCCACTATTGCACTATTCCAATATTGCAAACTAGAAATACCGCAAGAAATAGCAAACAAGAGGACTCCACTAGCAATAGTGAGGATATATTACCAAAAACAAATGGTGGGAGCTCCATTGTTGGTGCTAGGGAGGATAGAAGTAAGACAGGGAAACATGCACCAACAGGGAATACAGTCACAGAAACCCAAGGCAAACGGAAACCAAGCCTGTGCACATACTATGCACTCGGTATCTGCTGGCATGGGAAATCTGGAAAAACAGATGGGACGTGCAACTATGACCACCCTAGGAAATGCCATGCCCATATGACAACAGGAAAATGCAAACTCCCTTCCTGTAAGCTTTTTCACCCTGAACTGTGTACCTCTTCAGTACAGGAAAGACTGTGCTATAACTTAAATTGCCAGGCATACCATCTAAAGGGGACAAAAAGATACAAAACATCCAGGCCATGGGAAAACCTGGGTAGCCACAGCCACTCAAGAGGGAGAGGTTTTTTAGTGCCAGGAAGGAAAAAAACTGGCAGGAAATGGCAGAAATCGTACACCAAATCCAGTCATTCCTGGAGTGGAACCACAGTCGATGGCCTCCACTCCAAACCAACAGATACAGATACTAATGCCGGAAAAAAAATCCCCCCCCAGTACCAACAATACCACCAGTCCGATAACATTCTTCTTTGCA